TAACTTGAAACTAAGCAAAAGCATTATGAGAGACATTTCACTCCTGTCAAATGTCCATGGACTTCGTACACGGGAAAGATCACGCCTTCTCTCCAAGATTAATTCTGGGGAGGGAGGAACTCTGGCCTAGTGGTTAAAACACTTGTTAAGATACCCGCAAACCATACCAGAGTGGTTGGGTTTGAGACCCAGCTCCAACTCCTGGCTCCAGCTTCAAGCTAATGCAGACCCTGGAGCACGCGGTGATGGCTTCAATGGTCAGGCTTCTACCACACATGCTTGCTTTCCCAGCCCACAGCTTCAGCGATCCAGGGAGTGAGGCCTTGGATAAAAACACCCCACTCTCTGCCTCTTAAATATGCAAATGCAAAAATTATTTTAGATATTAATGATTGCAGCTTGTTTTAACAATCTTTGCATTCCTTGCATACAGAGAGCTTAGATGCAGCAAATTTTAGTGGGAACTGTAGGATATGGTCAGACATAAAACAAGATAGGAAAACTATGTGAAGTAAACTAAACCTAAAAAGGTAGCTGTTTGTAGCCTCTGAATGCATTCTTGACCTTCTTAAGAGTCTCTGAATGTACCACTGCATTAAAAGCATAGTATAACCTTTTAGTAATTGTGATGCTGCAAATTCATTAAGAAAAATGAAATTAGCAATCAGTGTATGCTGTCCAATGAACTGGAAGCAATTATGAGGTACTTTTTAAGAGTTTCATCAAATCCAAGATCTTCCATTTTTGTCAAAATTTCCATCTTCATTAAAATAAAGGATGACTGAGAAGCTGGAAGTAACAAATTGACTGAGAAACAAAATATTTTATAATATTTATGAGTTCCTCTAAATTTCCTTTGGAAAAAAATATATATATTTGGCAAAAACTGTCCTTGTCCTTAGGTCATTTATTTTATGACCTCACTGTCTTTGGGGGGAATTCTTTACTTGTTTTAATTCATTGACATGCAGTAATCTCTGGCTAAGGTCATGAGTTAATCTGAATAATTTCCAGAAGTTGCTCTACTGTGACCTCTTGCCAATTGGGAACTTGTTTACCATGGCTGAGGGAAGACTCTTTGATCTGTTGTTGGAAAGTGCCCACCATTTCAAGCTGGAAAAAAGATGAAAACAACATGACTTAGGAGCAGAGCATGTAGGCCAGTAATGCCACTCTGAGCAGATCCTAGGTACAAGAGAAGCATGAGGAAGGAGTGGTCAACTCACTGAAAGGTAGGGGACAGCACTTGAATCCTGACAGATGAACCAAGAATTAGCCTGGGTGGTCAGCAGGAAAGAAGATTACAGATACAGTGGTCAAGAACGCAGAGAAGGACAACCACAGGGTATAGTTTGGTGAATCTGAGGTGGTCCACTTTTCGTAGAACACAGATTCAGGGCATTCGACCAGAGCAATTGATTTTTTTCCCCCTCTATTTTTTTTTTTATTATTATTTTTCAGAGCAATTGATTTTGACCTAAAAAGAGGACTTCCTCTCTCTTCCCTGCCATCTTTTTCCAACTTTATTTTCTTGCACAGATAAGAGATAAGGCAGAGTTACAAGTCCAATGGCCTAAGCAGACACTTGGAATGAAACCCATGCACCTGTTTTACAGCAGAGGTATGGGATGCTCAAAGGCAGCAAGCGGCCTGCCTAATGGATCTGTTTCTGTATTATACCTTTAAAATCGTGTTGAATGATTAAAATATATGCCTTCCACATTCTAAACTACTCTTTCTTAGATCAAGAAGGTCCTTTAGAAAAATCTGAGTTTGAATTTCTTGATGACATTTATTAAGAACCTTGATGAGACTATAATGATATTCTTTTTTTATTTTTGAAGTAAGATATAATCTACATTCCATGCTATTGAGCCATTTAAGACATGTGACTCAACGGCTTTTGGTAGATTCCCAGAGCTGTGTATGATGAACTCCACTTTCACTGCAGTGGAGTTTATCATACTTTTATTTTCTCAGAAAGAAACCCTGTAACCCTAAAGTCCTCCCTGTTCCTTTCCAGTCTCCCCATTCCAGGCAACCAATAGTGTTCTTACTGTAGATTTGTCTTTTTTGGACATTTCAAATACAGTTAATCATACAATATGTCATCCTTTGTTACTGTCTCTTAGCGTGATGCTTTTGGAGTTGGTCCATGCTGTAACACATCTCAGAACTTCAGTCTTTCATACTGCCAAACAGTACTTCATTGTATAGACATGCTGTTTCATTTATTCACCCACCAGCAGATGGCCATTTGGATTGTTCTTACTTTTTAGATATTATAAACATGGTGTAATTCAGCTACTGTATTTCTGTGGTTTTTTACTGTAGTAGATTATGAATCTGATTAGCTTTCTAAACATGTACTTAAAATTTGTCACAAAAATTCGACAAAGGAGTCCAGTTTCTCGTGAATCTGTCACTTCTTGTACTGTAAATCAAGAAAGAGGTGGGTAGAGGGAGATGGTTCTGCCTTTGGTAAGTGGGTAGTGTTACGTATGTAGATAGCCCTCGGGGACAAGCTTTCCTTGGAGCACACAAGGGAAACCCTCTCTAGGTTTTCTAAATGGGATTACGATCCATTCCAGCCATTTAGTGTCAAATTATAAGAAAGATGAGCAAATCACCTAGACCCTAACCAGATGGGTGTGATTTTTTTTAAAAAGTCCTTTTCTGCTGGCTTTGATATGCTAAGAAAAGACCACTTCAGGAAAAATAAATGACTACAAAGTACACAACAGAATAGTTGTGTCCTTTGAAACAGTCGTGAGAAACGTCTTCCTAAGTGAAAAGAGGATAGGAAACTTTTGAATTTAATCTTAAAGGACGTTGCAATTCAAAGACCATTTCATTGTGTATAATGTATAGTCCCCCTTTTGCCAGACAGAGAAATTTCCTGATTGTACTCTTGAGATATTATAAAGCGTTTCCAAGACTGCTGTTAAACTGGGGAATTGTGAATTGGTATGTTTTCAAGTAAGTTCCTCCAGACCTCAGTCTGGTCTATAGTTTCCTGTTTTTACAATTAACTCCTCATGTTTCTTCTCGTGTGTGTGTGTGTGTGTGTGTGTGTGTGTAAAACCTAAAGATAGATGGAAGCATCTGGGCCATCTGGCTATAGAGGGGAATCCAGATTTCTTTGAGGGCTGGATACTAAATGTATATTGGATAAACAATGCTATCTTCATCTACAACTCTGTGCTAACCCTTCGGTCACCATCTGCCCTTGCCCTTACTACTACTCTGTGGGTGTTTTATCTCTGGATGAAGTAGGTGCTCTGTTTTGGGATAAACTTTGGCATAGGTATGGAAACTTGCATGGTGTTTTCTCAAGTTTATACAAGATTACAAAGTCACATGGCCATTTTGAGCACTGGGCTGCTACTGGAAGCAATGCTTCCTTCTTGTTGTTCGCTCTCCCTCTGTCTGCCGTTACTCTCACGGTCCAGAGAACTGTGACTAAGTCAGAGTCATCAAGAATAGAAGGGAAAGAATTCGAGCAACGGGGATGACTCAGGCAATGCAAGGTTCTACTGTTCCCTCCTAGCCGTATGTCACCTGAAAACATCCTATTTGTAGTTAAGATCGTTTCATAAGGACATGTATTTTTTTGTTTCCCAAAGCAAGGAGCTTGCTGGTTAACTGAAGTAGAAGTTGCTCTTGAAGTTCCCGCCAAAGATTTCTTACTTTTAGGGCGCTCATGAGGAAAACAACATCAATATCATAGAATATTTATTACAAACTACCACTTCACTGAACTCTCTTCCTATTCCTGCTTTACAAAAGAAAGTGAAGCTGGGAGAGGCTTCAATATTGCCTAACATAGGATGTTGTCTCACATTGCTGATTAAGTATTGACACCACGCGGGACAACTCCAGAGCCCAAGCTCTCAACTGACTACCTAATTAAGATTGTGCTATTTCTTAAATCAGTGCTATGATAAAAACATTCTCTCTGCCGACTTAAAATAGCATGCAAGCACTCAAAGTAGATATTTATAAAGAGCAAACATAGCAGACACTGTGAATCTATAATACTGCATTTTCTCCCATTTGAATTCCAAGAAAAAGATACTTCTCTTCGAAATGAAGAGTAGCATTTGATTTTGCTGGGGAACTGTTAAAATTATCTTGACGGTTCCAGTCATGCATAGCATAGAGATTTATGGTAAATATGTAATCTTGTTTATTTGTCACCCAAGTTGGATGACTTCCAAATGTTCCCTCTTCATAGATTTTGATTTGTTTGGATTTTTTTCAATGGCCAAATCGTCTTCCTCCTCTCCCCACCCCTCAAGAAAAAATCTAAATCACGTTTGCTCTGGTCAGGGAGTAGCAACATGCTGAAAGACAGATTTGGTTATTTAAAAATCCTACTATATTCCACTTGCATTCATGCTTTGGCGTGCTAGATGCTTACAAAAAAAAAAGAAAAGAACCAACTTGTGGCTCGCGTCCTTTTGCCCTTCGCTGCAGTGAATTCTGCCATTCCATTTTGCTGGGGAGCAAAGCATGCTTAACAGATCAAACTGTCCGAAAAAGCTGCCTGCATCCCTCATGTTTAAAAAGAGAATTTCGTTTCCTTTCCTTCACACATCAAAGACGGCACTCGGGGAGGAAATAAACCATAATTAGGCACGAGCGAGCGAGCAGACAGACCCCTTCCTTTGCCTTCGCCATCCCCGCCCCCCAGGCCCTGGCAACCATCCCGAGCGCGAGCGAGGCCGGGGCCACCGCAGCAGCTGCCGCGGGCGCGCGCCCGCTTCCCAATCTGGGCGGCGGCGAGGTCGGCCCGGGGCCGCGCTCTCCCGGGGGCGCGCTCATGCAGCGGTTTTTCTTCTCCCACAATCCAGAGGCGGCGGCGCGTGAGGGGCGGGGAGTCGGCGGAAGGATACTGGCGCGGAGGGAGCTGCGCTTCCCTTTGACGGCGGCCCGGCGGGCGCTGCTTGGGCCGCGAGGAGCGGGGTGTGATGCGGCACTGCGGTTCTGAGGCCGTTACTCCGGCTCCTCCAGAGAGGGCGGAGGAGGAGGTTGGAGCTCGACGGTGATTTTGTGCCAGGGCTTCCCGGAGGCGCGCTGAAAAGGCTGGCGGGGCTCGAGCAGCCGGAGGTTTAGAGACGCACATTCAAGCCCCCATCCCCCGGGGAGGGGAAGGGGGCTGGAGGCGAGGCGTGAGGGCGGCGGAGGAAAGGTGTCTGCTCTGGGGGAAGGGGCGAGCCCTGCCTGTCGGCGGCGAGGGGCTGCGGACCGGGGAGGAGGCTTCGCGGGTCGGAGCGGCTCCATGCCCACCGGTGGGTGGAACGTGGAGAGCGAAACGCTGAGGTCGAGCCTGGCGGCCCCTCGGAGCCCTTTCCGTGGTCTCTAACGCCGTGTTTCATTTAGCCCACATTGGGGTTAATTCATTGAGGGGCAGTTCCGCTCGCCTGGCTCCTCCAGGCGCTGGGCAACCTTGACGGGCTTTTTGTCTTGCTGCTCCAGCCCCCTTTTCCCTTTCCTCCTCCTCCAGATGCCTTTTCTCTGCCCCTCCTTGCCCGGTACCGACATTTCCAGCGCAGGCTGCTGCTCGTGGGGGCTGTTGAAGCCGCTTCTCCGGATTTCGGCTCGTTTCCCTCTGGGGTGTCTTTTGAGGAGGGAGACCCTGCCCCCTCTCTCCGATGGGGTTTTCCTGCCTTGCCAAAATGGACTTTAATTGATTTTTACTTACTTCTGTTTGAACGTTTTGAGACCTATTCCCTAGACATATTTTTTTTTTGTGGTAGTTCCTTTTTTCCCCCCCCCCAAACGAGAATCTGTAAAATGGAGAACGAAATCTTTACTCCCCTTTTGGAGCAGTTCATGACCAGTCCCTTGGTCACTTGGGTAAGTGGAATGGTCTTTATTGTATCTCTTGCTGTGTTCTTGGTGGCTGTCTACATGGAGGTGGGCGTTGATGGCCGTGTGATCCTCGTGTCGTAGGTGAAGACGTTCGGACCCCTGGCCGCAGGAACCGGGACCAGCCTGGAGGAGTATGTGGCTTTGGTGGATGGGGTGTTCCTGAACCAGGTCATGCTCCAAATGTGAGTCCTTCCTGCGTGACTCGTTTGCTTAGAGAAATCATATACACTGTGGGCTTGAGGCTAGCCCCTCCTTTTGGTGCGTTGGGTAGAAAAATCAAGGTGTTTGAAGAATCGGAGGGAGTCCATCTATCGCAAGCACAAATGTACACCTATGAAAACAGAGGAACTTTGTGATTTTTTTTTCTTTCTGACAAGCTTGTATTGTCATTTATTGTCATCAGTGCTGAGAAGCAGAGCACATAGTGCCCTGGTTGGTACGCTGCTGAAGAGAAAGAGGGAAGGAGTGAACAATTCACTGTCCTAGGGGAGAGGGAAGGCTTGACTGAAGTTATGTGCATTGGATGCAGAACCGTTTCTTGTTAACCTTTGTGTCCAAGAATACACTTACTGTTACACTCACATTTGGGGGCTAGGTTTAAGAACAGAAGAGAGATTTTGAGTCCACAGTTGGGATTGCTGAGGAGGGCTGCTGCTGTTATGATTCAGGTCTTGACTGTGGTTCTTTGCTTCATGTTTGAAGCATCATTTCAGGATGTCCTTACTTTTGAACTGTACATCGTTGGAAGTCTTAGGTAACTGGCTAGCCAATGATTAGTAGACACATCTTTGTCTCTTACAGTGCTGGGTCTATATTAATATGGTAGCTGGGTTAGGGAAATAAAAACAGCTGTGTGTATTTCACTGGTGGTACTGTAACCCTCCTCCCATTCCGGATCCTCAGTATAGTTTATCAAACTGAATTATTACAGTTGTGTTTAAGATGTTGAGTATTTAGCTTTATTCTTGAGTAGAATCTGATTACAAGAGTAGTTTGGAACTTTCCATTGAAAGACGTTCTCATCTTTTATGTAAGTGCAAAATTAGTGCATCATGAATCAGTAGTTGCTAACATCTAGACACATCTTACTCTTGCTTTGAGAATTTTTGCACAAAATATAGCCATTCTGTGTTTTAGATTTTTCTGTTTTGATGAGACTAGACATTAATTCCACAAATTTTGTTCCTGTTAGAGTTTGTGTGCTGAGAGGTTGTTTTTTTTTTTCCCCTATTTTCTATATATGCTGATTCCACTGGAAAGTATACTACTACTATACACTTTCTAAAAGTGCTGTGTTTGTATAGGCTGCCGAAGAAATGTTGATGGTACTTAAATGTATGTATGATATTTTTCTTTAAAAGATTAGTCAGTAATTATTTGTAGGCTTAGTAAATGTATTATGGCAGCTATCCCGTGAAATTGTTTATTTTTGAAATGTCCTACTATTTTCGCATATGAAATGGTAAAAATGTTTAACTTCTATTTTAGGAAGCAACACATGACAGGAAGAGTAGCCATTATTGTAGAAATTCACCTTTTTCCATACGTCTACTATTTTTTTCAGAAAATTTTGGACAGGCGTACTTACTTCTAAAAAAAAGTGCCGTTACAAAAATCTGCACTTTAGTTTTCTATTTTAATGGATTTCAAAAAACAGGATTTCTTTCCCTCCCTCCCCCCACCCACCCGAAATTGGAGTGTTTTGAGTTCTGAGTAGTTAACTAAGGTGCTAAAACAAGGATGTTGGCTTCTTTCCATTGCATATAGGTGTATTTTGAAAATACTGATGTTCCAAAATAGTAGTTGCCAGGGAGTTGTTTTTTTGGGAGGACTTGCTCCTTTCCAAGCCTCAAATTGGCTAGCGTGTTTTCAGTTCCACCTCTGTTTGAAAAAGTTGTCAGTGTCCTAATTTTGTCCTGAATGACCTATATAAATTAAAGAAGAAAAAAAATCAGAAAAAGGAAAGAATGCTCTTGCGTCTTTTAAGAATAATTTGCCGAAATAAGATCACAAGTTTATTTTAGTGAATTATTTAACTTTTAGGGCAACAAAATAAACAGTGTTTTAAAAACTGCATTTTGGCTCCTGGTGCAGTGGTTCAGTGGCTGAATCCTTACCTTGTGCACACCAAGTTCACATATGATTACCAGTTTGTGTTCTGGCTGCTCCACTTCCCATCCAGCTCCCCGCTTGTGGTCTGGGAAAGCAGTCGAGGATGGCCCAGAGCCTTGGGACCCTGCACCTATGTGGGAGACCCGGAAGAAGCTCCTGTGACTCCTGGCTTCAGATTGGCACAACTCCGGCCATTGTGGCCGCTTGGATAGTGAACCAGCAGATATAGGATCTTTTCTGTCTCTCCTCCTCCTCTGTATATCTACCATTCCAACAACAACAACAAAAAATTTTTTTAAAAAGCTGTATTTTGCTAATTTTGAAATTGCTAGGACCTTTTTTGGTTAAAGTGTGTGTGTACATATTTGAAAGACAGAGTGACAGAGAGGGACAGACTGGAATCTTTCATCTACTGGGTTCACTTCTCAAATGGCTGCAGGGGCAGGGCCGAGCCGAGTACAGGACCCTGGAGCTCTGTTCACATCTCCTGTTTGGATGGCAGGGGCACAAGTACTTGCACCTCAGCTTCTGCTCCCTTAGGCAAATTAGCAGCAAGCTGCCTCTGAAGCAGAGCAGTCAGAACCAGAGCCAGTACTACATATGGGATGTCAGTAGTAAGCATTGGCTTAACCTTTTGCCATACAGCAGATCCATTAGGATTTGCTTTACTACTTATTCAGATTATTATTATTATTATTATTTCATTGGAAAGTCACGACATATATAGAGAGGAGGAGAGATAGAGAGGAAGATCTTCTGTTCAATGATAATCACTCCCCAAGCGACCACAACAGCTGGTGCTGTGCCAATCCAAAGCCAGGAGCCAGGAGCTCTTCCGGGTCTCCCACACGGGTGCAGGATTCCAAGGCTTTGGGCCGTCCTCAGCTGCTTTCCCAGGCCACAAGCAGGGAGCTGGATGGGAAGCGGGGCTGCTAGGATTAGAACTGGCATCAATATGGAATCCTGGCGTGTTCAAGGAGAGAACTTCAGCTGCTAGGCTTGTGCCAGGCCCGAAGCATCTGTCTTTAAGTAATTTCTAGATTATTTTTGCTTACAATTTTGTGATTAAGAATCATTTCTTTTTTTAAAAAAGTTTGTTTATTTGAAAGGCAGAATTACAGAAAAGGAGTGAATCTGCTGATTCACTCCCCAAATGGCCACAATGGCTGGGGCTGGTATGGTCTGAAGGCTGGAGCTTCTTTAGGATCTCCCACGTGGGTGCAAGAGGCCGAGGCTTGTAGCATGCTTTGGCTACTTTCCCAGGCTGTTAGCAGGGATCTGGATCAGATGTGGACCTGTGCAAAGGATTGATTTCTTTTAGGGACTGGCACGTGCAAGGCAAGGACTTTAGTCACTAGGCTGCTGTACCAGGCACTATGAACTCTTTTTAAGTGAAACTGTGGTACTTGGAGTGTGTTGAGGTTCATGGATTTGAGTCTTTTTTTTTTTCCGTCAAATTTGGAAATTTTCCAGCAGTTATTTATTCAAATATGTTTGCGTATATTCAGTCTCTCATTCCCTTTTTTACCTTTCAGAAATCTGATTAGACTGCTTGATTTTTTTTTTTAGATTTATTTATTTGAAAGGCAAAGAAATTGGGCCCGGCACGGTGGCGCAAGTGGTTAAAGGTCCTCGCCTTGCACGCCCGGGATCCCATATGGGCGCCGGTTCTAATCCCGGCAGCCCCGCTTCCCTTCCAGCTCCCTGCCTGTGGCCTGGGAAAGCAGTTGAGGACGGCCCAAAGCTTTGGGAACCTGCACCCGTGTGGGAGACCCGGAAGAGGCTCCTGGCTTCGGATCGGCATAGCATCGGCCATTGTGCTCACTTGGGGAGTGAATCATCGGACAGAAGATCTTTCTCTCTGTCTCTCCTCTCTGTATATCCGCCTTTCCAATAAAAAAAATAATAAAAATAAATCTTAAAAAAAAAAGTGTTTTTAAAAAAAAAAAGAAAGGCAAAGAAATAGAGGAGAGAAAGGGAGTTCCTGATACTGCCTTAAAACTTGCTCAAGTTTGTTTTTCCCTTTTCTTGTTTGTTTTGAGTAGTCTAGTGGGATGTCTCCCAAAGTTTGTTCATCTTTTATTTTGTGATATCAGATCTTCTTCTCTCTCTTTTTTTTTTGTTAAAAAGGTTTATTTATTTTATTGGAAAGTCAGATTTATGGAGAGAAGGAGATACAAAGAGGAAGATCTTCTATCACTGGTTCACTCGTTAAGTGGATGCAGTGGTTGGAGTTGAGCCGATCCGAAGCCTGGAGCCCGGAGCTTCTTCCAACTCTTCCATATGGGTGCATGGTCCCAAGACTTTGGGCCATCCTCGACTGCTTTCCCAGACCACTGGGAACTGGATGGAAAGTGGGGCATCAGAGAAGGAACCGGTGCCCATATGGGATCCCGGTACATGTAAGGTGAGGACGTTAGCCACTAGGCTATCATGCTGGGCCCTCTAATCTACTTTTGATCCCATCCATCATATTTTTCATTTCTGATGTAGTAATTGAACTTTCTGTGTCTTCCATGTTTAAAGTTCTTGTGCTCTTTTTCTAATTTATTGGACATAGAGACTGTAGGTACAACTGGGTTGATGTGCATGTCAGTAATTCAGTCACTTCATATTTGGACATCATTATAGAGTGTTCTTACTTTCTACTTGATACCAGATCATTGAACTTTTACCTTGTCTTTGTGTGCTGGATATTTTTCTGTTCCATTAAACAAGATTTTGAGCTTTATTCTGGGATTCAGCTTAGTTACTTGGAAACAGTTGATCTTTTTTTGGCTGATAGTTCAGGCAATAATCTGGCAAAACCCTCTGCGTGCCCAGCTGGTGGCCAAGGTAACTGGTGGTGTTCTCCCTGATCCTTTTTGGTGGTCTTTTCCTTATGCTGGGGTGGCTCTACCACAAGTGCACATTAATACGCACTTAGCTGAACATTTAAGAGCTAGCCTTGACCGATCTCTGTGCAGCTTTCTTCTCTCAGTTCCTCTGTCTTCTGTATGTTATCCGTCTGTTTCTAGTCTCAGTTCCATCTCCTCGACATAGATCACATTGTGCTGCCTGGCTTTCCCCT